ATGCTGGTAGTTTCAGCTCCCTTTGTGTTACCTGAGCAAGGTGCAGGGGTCAAAACAGGGCAGAGAATCCACCCAGAAGTCCTGATTGTGGATACTTGTCCTTTCTGAAATTATGTGTTTGACCCTCCGACGGAAAATTTAGCCACCACTGCCCTCAGGATAATGAGGTGGCTGGTAACTGAGGGTGGAGCCATCACAGCCCCTCAATGCTTAGTGCATGCCTTGCTCGGTGAAGAAACAGGTTCTGCAGGGTGTGGTGGGTGGGCAGCTCTGTAGGGGTTGCTCTTCCCTCTGCCACTACTGACTCTATTGCCCCAGTGTGGTGCTAGGGGGCGCTGTGCTGCAGGGAGCGGGGCGGGTTGCTCAGTAAGAGGCATTCTCCCTCTCAGTGCTGAGCCCAGTCTCATGCTAGGGGGTGCTGTGCTGCTGTTTTTATAATAAGAAAGTGCAGAGCCAGTGTCCTGGCCATTCCTGGTCACTGAAGATGCTGAGGACTGTTCTCCCAAGGGTTCTAGACAACCACCTTCTACCCCCTAAACTGTGCCCTGGCAGTTTGAAACCAATGCAGGAAGCTGGCTCACTTCCTGTCCTAAAACGGACAGTTTTGCTGTGGCCTGTCAGACGACTGCTGGGTCTTGCCCCCAGGCTCTGCTACATGTCAGTAGGTGGCTGAATGAGATAATGGTTCCCGGGCCCATGGCCACTAGCTCTGCGGCCCCTGCTGCTTCCCCTCAGGCTGGCGATGCCCCAGGACCCCGTCCCCTCCAGCGAGCACAGGGCATGGGAGGGAGCTCTCACCGCTGTCCGCTCTCTGTGGCAGGCTGACGGCCTTCGTCCTCAAGTCGTTCGCGCAGGCCCGCTCTCAGATCTTCATCGAGGAGAAGCACATCCAGGACGCCCTGGCCTGGCTCGCTGGCAAGCAGAAGGAAAACGGCTGCTTCCGCAGCTCCGGGACGCTCCTGAACAATGCCATAAAGGTGACGTATCCATCCAGCTGGCTTCCCATGGGCCTCGTGGGACCCATACAGGACTCCAGTGACACGGCGAAAGCCTGCAACTGTGCATGGGAACAGCTCAGCCACTGCAGCACATGGGGCTGGGGCAGGGGGCTTGGAGATGGGATCTAGCAAGGGAGGCAAGAGCGGGGGAGAACCATACTGTACATGGAGCGACCATGGGTAGAGGAAAGAAGAGGGGCAGATACCTGGAAGCTACCATAGTGTGGAAAGAACAGGGATGTAGAACGCCCCTGGGAGGAGGGGCCAGTGGGCGGGGTTTCGGGGTTAATGCCTCTCTCTGTGGTTCCCTGCAGGGTGGGGTGGACGATGAGGTCACGCTGTCTGCCTACATCACCATCGCGCTGCTGGAGATTCCTCTGCCCGTCACTGTACGTACCTGTAACCTCTCAAGCCACAGACAGAGCTGGGGACCCCCAAGTCACAGCCTCCCATCCCGAGAGAGAAGCCTTTAAAAAAGGGGGAAATCCAGTCAGAAAAGTCTTTAAATTGAGGTCCAAATCTGGAACTGGAATTTCCCTGGAGCTTCCCTTCCAGTCCAAGGCGCTGGTTCTGTCTCCTCTCTAATCCTTTTATATGATCTTTGTTTAAAAACTTTTGAGGTGGCGTTTGCTTGATCCTCTCTTACAAGCCTACAGCTTAGAGTTTTACAGATATTTAACGCTTGGGTAAATAACACTTAACCCCTTGGCAGTTGGCACCAGCCAAATGGGTCCCCATCAAGGGCTGATTTCTGTTCTCCTTCAGTTAGGTCTGCTCCACACCCAGAAATCACACTAGCAAAAGTTTTATCATCAGCGAGCAACCGAAAAGACTATACTGGTGCAGTGAGTTCACACTGGTCCAGTTGTGCCAGCGTGTTGTGTTCACCTAGTATCAGGCCAGATTGGCAAAAGTGTGGTGCATTGTGGGTAGGCATCCCAGTGCCCTCTGTGCCACTTTCAGCAGCACTGCCTTGTGGGGAAATGTTGCTGCGTAGCTGTCGCTGTGCTTGTGGGAAATGTTCACTCAGCACGTGGGACAAGGTAGCAAGTAGCAGGAAC